AAGAAGGGGGGGGTTTTGGGGGCCCCAAAAAGGAAGAGTTCCCGCCCCAAAGGGTTTCGCCCGGGGGGGAGTTAAACAAACCCGGGCCCCCCCAGGGAAAGGGGAAAGGGGGGCCTTTCAGCCCCCCCCGGGGGGGGGCCCCGGAAACCCCCAATCCGGGGCCCCCGGGAAAAACCCCCAGGGGCCCAATCTCAGGGGGCGCAAGAGGAACTTCCCTCAAGGTTCCAAAATCGGGGGGGGGGGCCCTGGAAAGGGTTTTTTTCCCCCCCCCCCCCCCTTTTCCCCCCTGCCCCCTTGCCTTTGGAGGGCTTTCCTCCCCCCCCCCCCCCCTGCCCTTGGCACCCCCCCCCCCCCCTGCCCCCCTGCCCTTCGCCCACAGCCGCTGACGCACCTCGGCCGCGGCTAGGTCGAGAAGCTCAAGGCGCGGCTCGTGGAGCTGGAGCAGTCCTCGCTCGCCGGTCGCCGCTCCCGCACGCGCGCTCGGCCAATCGCGCGCCCGCGGTCGTCCCGCCGGCGTGCACGCAGCGCAGCGGAGGAGGCGGCGCTGTCGCACGCCGCGACGCAGATCCAGCGCCAGTTCCGCGCGGGCAGAGAGCGGGAGCGGGCCGTGCGCCTCGCGCTCGAGCGGGCCGCCCGAGCGACGCCGCACACGTTTGCCGCGGCCTGCGCCTCCCGCAGCCTCGACGCGCTGGGCGCGGTCGTGCGAGGTGCCCTCGGCCACGACGCGTGGGTGCGCGCCTTTCACAACGCGCCCGAAGAGTGGGAGGAGGGGGACATGGCGGCGGCGGTCAGCAGCGCGCTGGCGGACCCGCTGCGAGCGGCCGAGGTGTGGCTGCTCGCCAAGCCGACTAAGTACGAGCGCGCGCTTCTCGACCTGCGCACCCACGGCGCGGCGGCTGCCACCCGGCCAGCCCCACCGCGCACCGCGTTGCACGAGGGGGCCGATGCTGCCGACGAGTCGTTTGGCGCGGCAGGCGCCCGCTTCTCTGGCCCGACCTCTGGTGTCAGCGGGGCCGGGTGGGCAGCCGAGCTCAGTGAGGGAGAGGTGCCGACAGTGCCGGCGGCGACGCATCCGACGAGCCAGGCGCACGATGTCGTGCCCGGGTTCACGGTCCCGCTGTTGCCGGAGCGCAGCCTTCACCCGGCGCCCGACTTGCACCCCGCGCCAGAGTACACCTCGACCTACGAGCTTAGCGAGGGCGAGATTCCTCCGCCGTGGTGGCGGGCTGGCCGTGCTTGAAGTGTGACATGTCCAGCGTGTGCGGTGTGCGGCCCGGGTTTACTTTTTATTTTACTCGTATTAGTAAAAAAATACTATCCAGTACGTTCTCGCAAGGCCAAGACCGATACGACGTTCGCCTCACGACTGAGGTGTGAGCAGATGACAAAAGACTGACACTCGAGGCGCTTGGTCGGTTTCCATGTGAGGCGCGCGCGAAAACATGCGGGGCCGGAGACTGCGCACTCTGGACGCCCCTGCGAACCGCTTTATCGTTTATGCGGTTCGCGAGGAGGGCGGTGCAGCGAGTCTCCGGTTGGGGCCCAGTGGATGCGTGGACGTCGAAGAGCGGGGCCATCCACGTCGGTTAGCGATTGGGTACAGGCAACGGGCAATCAAAACTCCCCGGGTGCAGGGGGGAGGCATGCAGTGTGGAGAGTCGCCACAGGAGTCGGGCAACAGCAGGTCATAGGTCAAAATTGCAGGTTTGAGTTCTTGTCAATCAGGGAAACATGGCCTCGGGCAGCGTCGGCATCAGCTGGTGCTGTAGAACGCCTGGGCGGCCGCGTCCGGGCCGAGGATGTGCTCCACATCGATATCTGGGGATGAGTCCTGGAAGAAGCTCTCCACCAATCCGGACGGCTGCAATGGGGGCACCAGAGAGGCCGGCGGCTGCGGTAGCTGCGCGAGCGGCGCCGGCGCCGGCGGCTCGCTCGGATCCGATGTCTGGGCGGAGGAGCAGGCTGCGCTCGCCGCGAGCAACACCGTCCCGAGGTCCCAGCCGAGCTGTGCGTCCACCGGCACCCTCGGCTGCCGCTTCCTGACGCAGCCCACCCTTATCTTCTTCGCCTTTTGCCGGCGATTTTGGAACCAGACTTGCACCTGCATCGGAGCCACCCAGCAAGGCTTAGAGGGCTGGCGTCTGGCAGGGCATGGGCAGGCGGCACTACCTGCCGCGCAGTCACGCTGAGCTTGTCTGCGAGCTGGGTGCGCAGGTGTCGGGAGGGAAACTGGTCCGACGCGAAAACTTGCTCCAGGAAGACCCGGCTCTGTCCGTCCACTATCCAGCGCGGCGACGACATCGCCGCTCCCTCCCCCCGGCCTCCGCCGCCCTCCTCGGCAGAGGGGGCGCTGCCGAACGCGAAGGCAGGCCCCGGGCTAACCGCCGGCGTTTTACCAGGTCCAGGTAAAAGAGAAGGAACAAAAAAGATGCGATATGTCCCTTGCGTTTGTTTTCATAACATCGAAGGCTAGCTCAGATCGCACGCCGGTGGCTTGGGCTTGAAATGCCCAGCGGAGGCGACCGCGCTGCCGAGGCGGGTGTGGCGGCGGGACACGCGGGATTCGTCGCACACCAGCCGGGCGGGGGGGGGGGGCGCAAGGCTGCCACCTGAAATGGGGGGAGGGGGGGGGGGGGGGGGCAAACCCCAAAGGGGGGGGGGCCCCCAGGAAAACTCGAGCTCCAGGGGTTTTTCCTTTGGGGGAAAGGGCCAAAACCCGGGGAAAGTGGGTGTTGGCCCTGGGAACCCCCGGGAAAATTTAATTTTCCCCAAATGGTCCCCCCAGGCCCCCTAAAAACCCCGGGCCCCCCCCCCAAATTTTGGGGTCCCGGGGGGGGGGGTTTTTATTGCAATTTTTGGGGGCCAACATGGGGGCAAAGGCCCCCTCAGGGGAATCTTAAGGATTTCCCCCCGAAAAAGGGGTTGGGAAAATTCCCCATGCAACCCCGGGGAAAACGGGGGGGGGGGGAAAAAAAAGTTTTTCCCCTTCGGCATCGGGGGGCACATCACCTCGGGGGACGGGGATTCCTTTTTCATTGGAACCGGGGGGAAAGGGGC